CTTTTCTACTTTTCAGCCGACTAGATAATCCCACTGAACTCAATATCTTTCAATTAATGCTCAAGTTCAGAGTTAAAGTCCTTTACGGCCTTCATTCTGTTCTCCTCCAGTCAAGTGCTCAGTCTGAGAGCCCACAGAGACCCACTGACTGCAGATCAGCGTAAACTGCCAGTGTGTTTGGCCACTCCACTCGGGCTCTCTGAGGAGCATCACAAAGCAACTGTTTTATACACAAATATTTGAACGTCATTTGATTCTATTAAAGGAGTCCCTTCGCACACACAAGACTTCGGTAGAAAAAAAAACTAAAACAGGACATCCTCATGATCATCCACCATTGAAGAGAACAATAAAGCCTCTTCATGCTGTTTTTATGGGAACACGATAGCAGATGTTATCAAAGGAGTGAATGATGCTCTGAAGTTAATGCGAGCACAGACCTTTTCTTGTTGCACGCATATAAATAAACAACAGTCTGAAAACAAATGACACAGTCCATGATAAAGCTATTTTAAAGATATTTTAACTCAGTGACAGCAATAAAGCACTGTATGAGGGTCTTAAATGCCAGCATGGAGGTATTTAAAAGGTAAAGATCATACATTTGCACGCAAAATTCTCTGCATTTTTTATTGTATATATGTTATTTTATATCTTGTAGTGTTTTGAGTTTAAACAGTTTAAGTTTCGCATCACAGATAAAATTCATTATTATTATAATTTCTATTATTGCTATTTCATTCAATCTATTTCATATTTATATTTTATATATTTTAATACTTTGTATGCTTTAGGGGTGTAAAAATGTCCCCATGCCAGCACTTAGTGTTGGCAAAGCTACTTGAAAAATGTAGTGAGCTAAGCTATTAGTTACTCTACTAAAATGTAGCATAACTGCACTGAAAGCTAACCTCTGTAAAATGTAGCAAGCTAAACTAAAAGCTAATTGGAAAGTAGCTTAGCTACATCTAAGCTATTTTTGCAATTTCCATTTTTAAATTGAAGCAACTTAATTCCAAGTCAATCATATCTTAATGATCAATAAAACTGTTAATGAACATGTGAAGCACAATTGTTCAGTTCAGTCATTTACTGCAAATAAAATACTGTACTAAACAGAAACAAATGATAGTATATCAGATTATACAGGCTATACAGACTAAACTAAAAATCCAATATAACCAGGTGTTACACATTTAAAATACCACAGTAATTAATAGTAAATGGAAATATTTAGGAAAAGGAATTATATTGTATTGTATATTTACAACTCTTCATGAATTAATTACTCTACGTAGTGTAGTTTCATTAGTAACTATCATGAACTAATAGTAATTACCATAGTATACTTATATATATATAGACCTTCTCTTTCTCAATCATCTTTTCAGCAAGCAAATTTCTTGTGTTAGCCTAATCGATTAATGACATTACAGAACAGAGCAAGAGGTGGCAGTAATGCACCAAAAAAGTTTGTTGTCGACCACTGTAAAACAAGAAGAGGAAGAAATCATAATTCTCGCCATCATATGGATTTACTTTCATCGGTTAGACACCAGCCTCACAGCTCCGTAAATGTCAATGCCGTCACTTATTCTCTAACGGCATCTGTCACGATCTGTAAATGTAGCTTGTGTGGACGCTACTGCGCTACTTGACTAAAAAATAGCTTCACTACTGAAAAGCTATTTGATTTAGAAAGTAGCGACGCTACCACCACACTGCTGAGAAATGTAGTTAAGCTAGTAGCTTCAGTACTTGTAGACGTTACTGCTCAACACTGCCAGCACAGTTAACATATTCCTGTAGGATATACAGCAACTTACTGGCAGCAGTTCGCCAGTAACTTACAGTAAATCACTTACAACAAAAATACTGAATTTACATTTACAGAACCATTAATCTTGCTATATATGTATTTATAGTATTGTATATCTCTAGAATATACTGTAGTTTTCACAATGCAACTTAAAATACAGTAACATACTGCATCACCCTGCTACAGTAAAATACAGTTCACATTACAGTTAAATACTATGTAATTTACAAAAATCATTAACAGTGAGTATTTCTGAGAGATTATATTTGCTATACACTGAAGCTATTGTATATAGGTCAATGGCATTTTTTGTGCGTCTAAACTACATTAAAAATTACATTTATGAAAACAAATATACTCTAGAACATGTGTACAGTATCTGATTGATTATTATTAATCATACCCATGCAGGAAACCATTTTTGGCTTGTTACAAGAAAACAATAACATTATATTTATTTTGACCTTTTTATGAACAGATGAATTTTATTAGGATCCATTGAACCAACAGCAAAACAAATCTGATATTGATATATAAATAGCTAAATTGCTGACTGTCACATGCATCAACTTGCATTTATTTTAAATTTGTTTCTAAACCTTCCAATACACCAAATTAGAAATTGGTGTATTATTTTTAATCTCGTTTCATATCTCCTATATATTTTTTAGTTTTGTAAATATTTAACAGAAAAATATTGTTTTATATATATTTTATCAACCCTCACATGTAGTCTTTTTTAGTCTTTGTCTGACCCACATTTTCGTTTTTTTAATTATTATGCAAAGACATGCATAATATTCCACTGTTAAGAAAACATTATATGCAGACACACATGCACACTCAAGCAGAGAAGAGAAATAAACGAATCTCATTCAACTTAACACTAATCATGACACTCTTAACCAGTATGATTATAAGCAAATGAACCCTTATTAACAGCAGAAATATTGCTCTATTAACAAATACAGACATAAGCATAACACATGGTGGAGGCCAGGTGTTATTTATTCATTCTCTCTCCGTTTTACTCTAACTTCACCCAGAGAGCTGCTGCCAGACCAGTCTTATCTTACCTATGCAGAGCTGCACTACATAAGCGTAGTAGGACCATGCCACGATCAGACTGATGAACAGCACGGGGATCCAGTATAAAACTCTCCAGCAGTCAAAGCTGCGCGAGCCCGACGGCGCCATCTTTCTATTTGATGACCAAAAGTGGTCAAAACGTCAAGTTGAGCCCGCACTGCTGCTGCTAAAACATCATATGTTTTCCGGTGCGCGGCTGCGGCTCTTCTGCTTCTCCATCCTCCGGTTCTCCGCTCGCTCGTGTTCGCAGTGGAGCTCATCATCATCATCATCGTCGTCGTCGGTACCGCCCCTTTCTACAACTTACACGCGATGCAGACAGTGGAGCTCCACACACACACGTACACAAACACACACTCTCTACAGCTGGATTCCGTCGTCTTCTGTCTCCTGAGGTTTGTCTGCAATCATTTTGGAAAGATTAGCTGAACATATATCATTAAAATATCACTGACACCACATTGTGTCCACATTACAGGAATGTTATAAACACCTTACATTACATAGAAGCACTTTGCATTATACAGTGTAGAAAATAGGTGACTGAAAATTGACAGAAGAGTAAATATTAGGTTATAAAAGCAGCCTGATTCGGTGTCTGGTTTTAGGACTATACACACATTAATACCCAAATACACTTCAATGAACATGTATAGGCTAGACTCCTAGACACTGTGTAGCTGCAGGTTGACTGTTTAGATGTAATAAATGTAACAGTTAAAAGTGATACTAGTTAGTTAGGTAAAGCTATTAATACTAATAACCTTCATTTTTCTGAATTTGATTATAATGCAGTAATGTGCAACTTTTGTAAAGCTGCTTTGAAATAATAACTATGTGAGAAGTGCTATACATATAAACTTGGATTGGATTGAATTGAATATGGTTTTATCTGCTGTGTTCGGACACTTTTCAGTTAGCTAGCTCTGTACCAAATTGCTGTATCCTAACTAGTCAAACCAGCTAAAACCACCTGGTCAAAACCACCTAAAACCAACTTAGACTTTGACTAAAACAATATGACTTAGAGGTTGACTAAAACAATATGATGACACTTTAGAAATGTAATCAAACTGTACAGTATTGGTAGATTGATAGAATTGATACGATTCACTCTAAGCTTTTTAACACATTTGCTCCCCACCAAAAATATAAACAGCTTAAAATCTGACTTTTTAAACTTGTGAAGCTCAAATGGGTGTAGCATGGTTCTAGCAAAATTAGGTTCAATCTTTGTTTTAGCAAAATTAAGATGTGCATCAAATACATAAAACAAATAAATGAGAATATACACCAATATTCATTCAATTTATCTTTATTTCTTTAGCACTTTTTGCAAAGTAGATTGCGTGTGTCAAAGCAGTTTAACAGATGAAGATTTAGTGATTTAAAACTGCTTCAGTTCTGTTGTCACAGCTGAAGTTCAGTTTAGTTATTATACTATTATAATTAGTTAATATAAAAAAATATCTTATTTCTAATGACTAAATATCGAGAGGTCAAACTGATGTGGAACCTAATCAGGAGTAGATTTAACCAATAGGCTAAGCAGCTGCTAGGGCCCCAGGAAATCTGAGGAAAATAAATGATACCTATAAATCATTTATAAGATTGTTTTATATCATATTTTGTACAGTGAGGGTCTACAAATTTTAATTTGGATGTAATTATTACAGCTGCGCAAATCTGTCCCCCACCTTTAATCATGGACCAGTCCAGCAGTTAAATCCGTAAAGGTTTAGTTTAAAAAACAATATAATTCATTTATTATTTTTAGCTGTGGATTCATTTTAGGAAAAAAAAAAAGTGATTCTAAAGTTTTACAAAGTGCTTTACATGTTATTATTATTCTGGATTTTGATCAAATTTAGAAAAGGAGATCGAATGGTGTAAGAAAAAAACAGCAAAATAATAATAATAACAAATGAAAAAAGAAACATAACTGCATTTTAAAACTTTTGGGCCCCATGACTGGAATTGCGTAAGGTCCCAAAATCACTAAGTCTGCCCCTGAACATAGTACAAGTCTTTTTTCTTAAAATCATACCTTGAAAGCAAGCACAGATCCTTATAAATGACACAAATGACTATATTGCTTGTGTATCCTAGTTTATTGAAATTAAGCAATATAAATACAAAAGCATGAAAAGTACTTCACTTATGACAACTTGTAATATGTAAACAGATGGTCTTCAGCTCCAGATAAAAGCTAATGAAATAAACATCTAAAAGAGTCTACAGTGTATTCTGTGGGAAAGACTGAAGCTTGTTACAGTTTTCACATAAGTCAATATTATATTGTAGTAGAAGATCAAATGCTTGTTATTTCAGTCTTGAATGCGAATGAAATTAGAAGAAAAAAAAAGTAACATTTCATTAGAACATCTGCAAGATAGAACATACAAGCAGTATGTTTAATGAAATGCATCATATTTCCTGGTTTAAAAAAGGGACATATTTAAAAGTCAAGAATTCTAGGCTTTAAAATATCTCAGATATAATCTCAGAAATATCCAGTAAATAATCAATAATAAGATGTTAACTTTAAAAAAATCATGTATATATTTACTAGAATAAATTAACAACAAGCTCTGATCTCCCGTTGCTTTTTGCTCAAGGCAATGACAACAAATAATACAGTGTAATGTGTGGAACTATAACCTTAATCACCCTTAAGAATAAACAAGAAAGTCAATGAAAAGTCTCAAGCACAGTCAATATACAATATAAGAAATATAATCAATGAAATTTGCTATTTTACTACATGATACTCAGTACAGTAACTGCCACTTTTCAACTCACAATTTGGACGTTTCTTCTCAGAAACAAAAAATTTTTAAAGTTTTTTTTTTTCTGGAAATTGTAAACTGCAATGTTATTTCAGAATTTCTTTAGTTAATTTCTTACAATATTTGTTCTCTGGATTGCATGTGTTTATGTATTTTTGTGGCTGTGTATAAAATGCATTTGAAGGAGTTTCTCTTTCAGATGTAAAACATTTAGGAGGAAAGTACTTAATTAAATGGCAAACATTATCTGTTTACTGATAAAAAATAAATAAATAAATAAAAATTGTAGTTTATTTGTTTTGTGATTCCGTATTTTTTCTCTCCATAAAGTCAGAATTACCCAATAAATGTTGCAATACTTTTTCATTGTTTTATCCAGTACGTTGAAGAATAATCATTCAGTTCTTACAATATGAATAACAGATATTAAATCCCTATATGACATGATATTCATTTTCCGCTATTCACACACAGGATATTAGTTAAAGGAGTGTGTGAGCTGGAGAGAGGGATCTATATGTGTAGCGCATTGTGAGATTACTGAGGTCTCATTATTGCTCTGTGCACTCAGCACTGTCAGAGCCGCTGTAAGCTGATCCGCTGCTGGACACTGGACAAACTCACACAAACTATGTTAGCAATGTGCTCGTTGTAACCAAAGATTATCTGGCTTATAACTCCTAGAGTAGCAAATACAACAATACAATGCCAATACAGCAATAAAGGGGCATCAAAACCCCAAAAGAACGTTTTCCTTACACAAAATAGATTAATAAATAGAAATAAATAACTGTACACACCATTATCCGTTTCACACTTGAGTTAGTTTGTTTAAAGCAAGACGCTGCAGGTGTACATCAGGGTAAAAACTTAACTAATAGGTATTACCATGATTACAAGTATTTTTCAACTTTAAAAAAAATAACGTTTTGTATTAAAAGCTTTCTAAAATGTTTAAATATGCAAATGAGGGATCATTTGTGTGCTAGTTTGTATACAAAAAATCTGAAAACACTGAATGTTCAGTGGTTCAGGTGCAAAATTGGCATTTGTCTTGTGTTTTTGCCATATTAGTCTAATGTTTTATCACTTTAAATACTGGGAACATGTTAGAAATAAATAAAATAAAATAATAAATAAATAAATAAATAAATAAATAAATAAATAAATAAATAAATAAATAAATAAATAAATAAATAAATAAATAAAATTTTTATTAGAAAATACAGCTATAAATAAAAAAGTCTCGTGTATGTATAGTAAGAGCTGCTGAAATAAATATATGTATGGCTTCATACGGGTAAAAAATGTGTACAACAGAATTCTACAAAAACATTAAAAGTGTATTTTTTGTGCATTTACTTTACATTAGACTGAAAAAAAAGGTTTCAAAATTTTTTTCCCTGCAGTGTCTTGCGTTAAAATTAAAAAAAATGTTATATTTATATAGTAATATATCATTAATAAAGACGTTACTCTGAAAATAATTATTTTATCCCAAAATGTGGGCCCTGGATCCATTCAAATTTAAAAGACTGTCAATAAATAACTCTGATTATTAAAAGTATCATGGCTATTTCATTAAAGTGTTATCCTTTCGGTTAATGGCTTTTATAGAGTTCAGAAAGTGCCTGCCAAGTGACAAAGCTGTAACTATAGTCCAGAGAGGTAGCATGTGTTAATCTAAAAGCGGCAGTACTTGTATCTTACAGAGTTTGACACAGGTCAGGGAGATAATTGCATTTGAGTCACTGAGAACTTTAATCCAACGTCAGATTTCTTCCCTGCGACGTGAGGCTGAAGAGAAACCCTCAGCGGGACGTTTATCTGCACAAATCAGAAGAACAGCATTATTATGTTGGAATTGAATAAAAGCTAAATGTTTAACCATTATATTATTTTTAAACTGTCTGAAATTCTCCTACTTTTTAAATAGAGTTGAGGTCAAAATTATGAGCCCCCCCCCAGTGATTTTTTTTCTTTTTCAAATTTTTCCCAAATGATGTTTAACAAAGCAAGGTTTTTTTCACAGTATTTCCTATAGTATTTTTTTCTTCTAAGAAAGTCTTATTTGTTTTATTTTGGATATAAAAGCAGTTTTGAAATTTTTTAAAAACAATTTAGGGCCAATATTTTTTCCAATTGTTTGCAGAAAAAACTATTACAATGACTTGCATAATTACCCTAACTTGCCTAGTTAACCTAATTAACCTACAGTCAAGCCTTTAAATGTCACTTTAAGCTGAATACTAGTATCTTATCTAGTAAAATAGTATGTAAGATAAAAGTAATTAGTTATTAGAAATGAGTTATTAAAACTACTATGTTAAGAAATGTGTTGAATAAATCTTCTTTCCCTTAAACAGAAATTGGGGGAAATAGAGGGGCTAATAATTCAGGAGGGCTAATAGGGATTTAAACTGTATGTATAATTTAAGATTATGAACATGCATATAAAATGTCAAAACTGATGTAAAGTAAATATGTGTTTGTGATCGTCACACTAATTTTATGTGTGCATTTAAATGTGTGTATTTATAAATTGCTTATGTCTGAAGTCATTTCATGTCCATTGTTGGGGTACATTTTTATCACTTGATGTATAAATACATTTGACAGGAAATCAAACATTTAAAAAGCCACAGCAAATTTATTTTACACTCATTTACTTATTCTCACCCATTCCCATACAGAGAAGATCCCCGTCATCCCCAAATAATTATCAATAACCTATTCATTTAAAAGTTTGAATTCTTTTCTTGTATTTCAGTGGTTTTCTTGCAGTTGACACCAAATCCAATACAAGTCAGATCGCATAAAAGTTGTACCAAATTTTTGAGCATAAACAATAAATTAAATAACAAAAATACAAAATATCTAAAACTTGAACATTTTTTAAATATAAAATACATTTACAAAAAAGGGTATACTGAATCAACATTGAATTGCATATAAAACAATGATTTATCTATATAATAAATGAAATGAACAACTGCCCTTACTACCTCTTAATAAATATAAAATATAAAAATTAAACACACCCAATTATGCCATTCAGACATAATTACGTTCTTATACTTGTGTGATTTTCATGTGATATTTGCAGTTGGCACTATATCCAATGCAAGTTAGATAGCGTAAAAGTGGCACCTAATTTTTGTACATATAAAATAAACATTTTAAAATAACAAAAACATAAAAATTTTAATATAAAAATATACATTTACATAAAACAATGTATACCAAATCAACTTTAAATTGAATGTAAAACAATAATTTATCTATATCATAACTAAATATTATCAACTGCCCTTACTACTTCTAAATAAAAATAAAATATAAAAATGAAATACACCCATTTATGTCACTCAGACTGCATATTTTCATTCTTATACTTGTGTAATTTTCATGTGACTTTTGCAGTTGACACTAAATCCAGTAGAATAAAATCCAGTAAATAAAGTCAGATAGTATAACATTTTGAATATAAAAAATAAACAATAAAATATATAAAAAAAATAAATAACTAAAACATGAACATTTTTAAATATTAATATACATTTACAAAAAAGTGTGTATAATTAAAAAAATATCTACATGATTATGATATAAAACAATGATTTATATCATAAATGAATTTGACAACTGCCCTATTAATCAAAATAAAACAAAAATGCAATACAGCCATTTACAGTACGTCATTCAGACTGTATATTTTCATTCATATACTGACTGTTCCTTCTTCCTCTGTGTTTTCTGGGATAATGTCTTTTGACATACTAAGTTATATAATCGTATACTAAATCAACATTGCATAGCATATTTTAAAAAATTATTTATCTAAATCATAAATTAATTTAACACCTGTTCTTACTACTTTTGTACTGAAAATAAAATATAAAAATGCAATAAACTCGTTTATGTCATTCAAACGGCATATTTTCATTCTAATACTTATTTTTCCATGTGAGTTTTTGCAGCTTACACTAAATTCAATGAAAGTCAGATCACATAAAAGTTGTATCTAACATTTTAACATAAAAAATAAAGTATTAAAAATAGCAAAAACACAAAAAAACTAAAACATGACAATTTTTAAATATAAAAATACATTTAGAAAAAACAATGCATACTAAAATAACATCGAAATGCATATAAAACAATGATTTATCTATATCATAAATTAATTAAACAACTGTCCTTACTACTTTTGTAATAAACTTCAAATATAAAAATGCAATACACTGAATAGATGTTACTCAGACTGCATATTTTCATTCTTATACTTGAGTGATTTGGATGTGATTTTTTGCAGTTGACACTTAATCCAATGCAGGTCAGATAGCATAAGAGTTGTACCTAATTTTAAACATAAAAATAAACATTTAAAAAAGCAAAAGTACAAAAATAAATAAAAGATGAAAATTTTAAAATATAAATATACATAAAAAAACTGCATATACTAAACCATCATTTAATTGCAAATAAAACAATGATTTGTATCATAAATGAATTTAACAACTGCCCTATTGATACAAATAAAATACAAAAATGCAATACACCGTTTATGTCATTCAGATGGCATATTTTCAGTCATACACTGACTGTTCCTTCTTCCTCTGTGTTTTCTGGAGTAATGTCTCCTGAGGGTTGGCCAGTGTATTGTTTTACTGGGTTAAGAAGTTTTTTTATACACTGTGTTAGACTAGTATCTTGTATCTCTGGAAGCAGACATTAATTTTACAGAGTAATCTGATGCTGGAGAAAGAGTTTCGTCTGTATGCTGAGCAGCGCTAGAGGTGAAGTTCGGTATCATTCGTTCTCAATTCGCCAGAACAACATCATCAAGCTAACCCTAAAACTGTGCAAAATAGAAGACTAATAGACTTTTATTTAGCTCTGAACTTACCTATTTAGCACTGAGTTCCTTCTTCATACAGCCTTTAAAGGATGTGAATCTCTCTTCACCCTTATATCCCTGAGTTCACAATGATAATATGAAATTAGAATTCTTTTATGTGTTAAATAGATGGATATCTTTTTAAAAAAAAAAGAATGAACAGTCCTAGTCTATGAGGCTTCTAGCATTGTGAATAAATAGTAAAAGACCACTAGATGTCAGCAAAAGTGCACACACATGAATGAAATCACTTGGAATACATGGCAATCAACTATGGTTTGTAAATTTCTTTTATGATTATAAAGGATGTTCTCACAAATGTTTCATTTATTTGATTAAGTACAGATACAGATTAAGATAATAAAATATTTAGGGTTTCCCCCCAAAAAAAACTAAGAAATTGAGTTGTTTCAGTTCATTTTACATAAGTAGTTTGAACAAACAGCTGTTTTTTTACTGTTTTTTTTTTTGTGTAAAACAGTATTATTGTAAAATGTGCAACATCATTACTCCAGCCTTTGGTGACAATATCCTTCATGAATCATTTGCTCCACAAGAAACATTTTTTTATTAATATCAATGTTTTTGTGGAAGCCATGATTGCATAGATTTAATTGTGAGTAGATTAGAACATCTCAAAAAAATCTTTAAAATGAAAATAGTATAAAAAAAATTATATTTTTATATGTGATAAAGCATTTAAAATGAATAATTAGTAAATAAAAATATGAATTAATTAATTTATGTATTTTAAAACCTTAGAATTCCTAATTTTTAGAACAATTTTATTGTGTTGCATCCAAATATATTGGGAAACACTCTTCTAACTACAAACACAAATTATGTGTCTATTACAAACCTCAATGCAGATTTATAGACCACCTTGAAACTCAAAAATATCTTTACGGACTATAAAAACTTTGGCTTGTGTTTAAAAATTGTATAAAGTGCATATAAATAACTTTAGAGAAGAGCATCCGCCTTATTTACCCAAGAGCCACGATGCAGTCGGTCCTTCATTATCCCAATAAACTCCTTGTAGCTCAGCTGGTCATCATGGTCCACATCAAAGATCTTGAAAATGGTGTTCACAAGGTGTCGGGACAGTTTCAGGCCTGTGGCCACATAAACAGCACGACCAAACTCATCTGAAAAAAACAAACATCAACCTCATGACTTGCTGAAGAATTGAGTTTCATTGAATTACATGCAAACCAGGCTTAATGGAAAATGCATTGTCTAGATTTCTACAACACTTAAAATAAATTGCTCCATGTACACTTCATTGCACTTATTGGATCAAATTTTAATTTATAATTGATTTCATTCACACTCAACACCGGAGGGCGCACTCACACTAAATAAAGTAGTAAAATAAACTTATGACTTTCCAGGAAACCATTTATAAGAAATGTTTGAATAATGAAATATGAAGAGAATCAATGCATGAGAGCATCAATATGGTTTATACAGTATGTCAAAATGGCCTTTATTACAGTATTAAAAAATGTCACCTCTTTCCATGATAAAAAGCCACTTCAGTTTACAGAATGAAGTACTTTAAACAATCAAATGACTAATACAATTTTGGAGAAAATACTTACTGAGACACTTAGCATTTTACTTTATTAATTTTTCATTCATTTTGCATGCAATTATGTGACTCATTGATGAAAAGATAATCAAACAAAATAAAGGCAAATTATACCTTTTTTTTGTTTGCGAAGATTAAAAACATGTATTGTATTTAAAGTCAATGTATACAGGTCTCCAATATTCTTTAAGACATTTTTTTGTTTTTGTTTGTACAAACAGCTATGTACCAAGTGAAGGGTGAGTAAATGATGTCAGAATTTTCATTTTTTGGTGAACTATCTTTATAAGATTAGGTTGCAGTGAGAGTTAGTGTTAGTCACCCAGCTTTAATGGTTAAGATTAAAATAAGAAGCTAGAGATCACTGTGTCACTGTGTCAATGACTGTCCTAACAAGAGCAGCTGTAGAAGCGTGTGCGTGTTTACCTTGTCCAATTGGGCGATTTGCAAAGTTGTACATTTGCATGGCAATGGCAAAGTCCTCTAAGTTGTTGAGGAACTGAAAGAAGGACCTAAACTCTTCAAAAGTGATTCCCTAGAAAAGAAAATCAGTGTTAAAGATCAGAGTCTGAGCTTTACAGAAAAATAATTAGGGCAAAGCCTGGAGATAATCTTTAAATAATTCCCGTGGTAATCAAAGCATCCACCTAAACAACAACACACTTCACTTTTTAAGCAAGAAGACACCTTAAGTGTCTGTGGGACCTTGAAGAGTGATAACAGATTCAAAGTTGGAAACCAGCAAAGTCAAACAGTCTCTCCTGCTTCTGCAGCCGATCCACACAATCTGAGCTGTCATCACCTTTAGGTTGTTTTGTTTAAGGAGAGGTTGGCTAGCTTGTCAGCTCTTCTAAAGAAGATTAACCTGATACTCGCATACATAAAAACAAAAGGGGATGTGTCCAAAATATATCAGTGCTAGCAGGTTACCCAAACAGCGGCCCTTTTGATTTGCACTCATCCGTTTCCAGCCACTAGACCCACGTCTTTTTCTGAAGCCTCTCTTGCAACCAAAAACAGCAGTTTTACAAATGATCTACTGAGTAATATGTGACGCTTGGTGGTTTTACAAGTTAAGCTGTATTGCTTTATCCTTTAACATAAGAATGAGAAGCACTTCTATATCAATGGGCATCTACCAACAGCCTTCTCAAGCAGAAGAAAACACTCTAACCTCATAATGTGAGGGTCAGTGTGCAGAAACGGAAACATCCCATTGATGAAAAAAAAGACACCAACATTGCTCAGATTATAAATATCCTCCAGTCTCTTTGGAGATTTTTTGGTATGCTGTGATGTGAATTTAGATTCATTAACTATGTTTCCATCCACCTATTTTTATGCATTTTGGACATGCGCATTAAAAATCAGTTGATGGAAGTGCCTAGATGCACATAAATTTTGAAGCCTTACCTATTTCAGTATTACTGTTTTTATATTGTTAATTACCTCAAAAACTGTCAAAAGCGTCTGCGCTCTGAGTCTCATGGCTTCAAACACCACCAGGCGTTCATTGCGTGTTGGCAACGTCTTCTGAGATGCAAGTCATTTAATAAATAAAGAAAAGATTCATGCAGCTTCCCTACTGCAGCAAATTCCATTTTTTACTGTTAATATTTGCCGCCAGTTAATCAGGAAGTGACGATTTTGTTCTCTTTGACTCGTAAAATGGAAACGCTGCTTTTTTGCACGTCTTTTATGCGATATTCTAGTTTTGCACATAAATTTAATTAGCATTTTTGCACTATTGTCTGGATAAGAGAAAGCAAAAAGCATCTGTCAAATTGATTAGATTCATATATTAAGTTTAAATTAGTCTACCTACATTTTTTTCATTCTGCATTTCCAAGCTAACAGGTAATGTGCAGTCAACATTGTAGCAAGGTTCTTTTAAGATATAAGAATAATAAAACATTTGTTTAACATTATCTGTTTTTTCTTATCATTCTCAGAACATTATCATAATGAAACCTTCAGTCATATTTTACAATAAGGATTTATTAGTTCATGTATTTACTAAAATGAACTAATAATGAACAAAACTTGTACAGCAATTATTATTCATAGTTCAGCATTTACTAATGCATCATTAACGTCCAAGTTCTTGATTATTGACATTTGTTAATGCACTGTATGTTAACATGAACTTACAATGAACAGCTACCTTTTTCTATTAACTAACGTTACCAACTGTGAATAAATACTATAATAACTGTATTGATCTAATTGTATTGAGCTAACATTTAACTAATGCAACCTTATTAAAATTAAAGTGTTACTAAATATTATGAATGCACACAATGTTGAAAGGAATATAATTTTAACCATTTGAAATGTGTGATTTTATATACAGTATACTATAGCATGTAACTGTTTGCTGTAATGTTGTATATTATGTCTATAAGCTGTATATGTTTCCTAAGACTATTTTGGTTGTTAAGAAAGTAAGTTACATTTATTATTTGTGAATTTAATTTTGTTATTTAGTTTGGGACTATTATTTTGAAATCTCGACGGTTGTACGTAATGGTTTACTCCCCGAAAGGTTCTGACTTACTGTTAACAAGCAAGCGGCAAAAAAACTGCTTGCATGTGTGTGTCAATAGATGTATTAATTGCAAAGGACTTGAACAAGAGATTTAAGGAGAATTCAAGACAATTTCTTTCATATAGCATGCAGCCAATGAGGTATTTTGCTTTATATTGTATTTTGTGTTTACAGTTTCTAAGGTTTGTTTGTTTGTTTACGTATGTTTTGGTTTGTATTAGGTTCATTTGTTTTGTATTTGTTTACCTTACATTGTGGATTTGGGGAAAAAGCCATCAAATAAACCAGTATTACGAAAACCACTTGTGCCAGTGTATGCTTGAGGGAAATTGCATAGTCAATGCTATGCAGTTTTAATAGTGCTTAATTGAACTGAACTGAAGTTTGTGCATGCAATAATCAAATTATTGTATAGTCAATGAATCAAATAATATTGGAAAACCTCAGTGCCACATTGCATGGTGAGTAAAAAAGTTAATAATAACCCCTAGAGGTTGAACAAAAATAGCAACCTGTTTGAATGTGTCATCCTATACAAATGGTATCTGTTGTGTTTGTTTGTAAAGCATCCTGATTTTCCTGAGTGATGAATAAGTGAATGTATGTGTGTTTGTCCAGAAGTTTCACCTTCTCGTCAGGTATGCTTTGATGCACGTTCTCCAGGTAGCCTGTGATGTTCTCCACAGTGGTGTAGCGCAGCAGGATCCGAGCGAAGTCCTCCTCGCTGATGGTGGTCATTCCCTTGGAATAACTGAGGAACTCAATCTCAAGCACTTCTGTCTGCAGGTTGTCCATGAATCTGCCGACAGAGCGTGAACAGACCGAGTGTTAAGAGAAGAAGCCATCACTCGCTCAGCAGGACACTAGACTAAATGACTGGAGCGTCCAAATACATCCTTAAAGATGCTAATGGGGTGTGTGAAATCCTTAAGCCGTAATAACATTCAGAATTAATCTTACTTTGAGATCATGGTACAAATAATTTAAACTTAAAGTGGTAGCTCACCCAAAAACAAACATTAGCTTATTCTTTTCTTTTTTCTGCTGAAAATGTGATGGTGATTCATACATTTGATGCATTTTAATAGTAAAAAAAACATATACACTATCTGACAAAAGTATTGTTGTTGATTCCAGTTGTAAGAGCAACAAGTAATAACTTGGCTTCTAGTTAATCATTTGGAAAAGTGGCAGAATATGGATTTATTTTTATTAATTATCTGTTGAACTGCATCCCAATCATTACAAGTACTGCAGAAGACCTATTGGAACCCACATGGAGCCAAGAGTCTCACAGATATCAGTCAAGTTTGGTGAAGGAAGAATCATGGATTGGGGTTACAATCAGTATGGGGTCATGCGAGAGATCTGCAGAGTGGATTACAACATCAACATCTTGAGATATCAAGACAGCAAATTCTTCAGCAGGATAGCGCTCCTTCACATACTTCAGCCTCGGCATCAAAGTTCCTGAAAGCAAAGAAGGTCAAGGTGCTCCAGGATTGGCCAGCCCAGTCATCAGACATTAACATTATTGAGCATGTCTGGGGTAAGATGAAGGAGGAGGCATTGAAGATGAATTAAAAAAAAATCTTGATGAACTCTGGGAGTCCTGCAGGAACGCTTTCCATTCCAGATGACATTAATAAGTTATTCTATGTCACTGCAGAGATGTGTAGATGCAGTCCTCTAAGCTCATAGGAGTCATACACAATATTAAATCTTTTCCACTGCACCATGACTTTATATTCTATACTGTACCTTATTTCTGTTAAGTGACAAGACTTTTGTCTTAGCAAAGTCAGACCTTACTGTCCTAATTAAAGAATTAAAAATCAAGGCATGATCATATTTTATTTTGGTAAAATGAACCTAATTTAGAGGCCTTTGCCTTTTATTTAAGCCACTTCTGATACCAAATGATCAATTAGAAGTCAACTTTTTATTTGCTCTTCCTAAAACTTGGATAGACAAGGAGACGTTTGTCAGGAAGAGTACAGGCAAAAATAATAAATAAGCATCACTGGCTCTTGGTGATAGGTATTATGAAGTAATCAGCCCAAAAAGCATTATTTACATTTATTTGTACTATGTACTTAGTAAACAGTCCTGAGAGCTTTCACAAAACACTAAATTTTAGGCTGTTGTGAAATCACTTATACGAATGTTTGCTGATGCTGTGGATTAAAGATGATAATATTGTAAATCATTCTCAGTTTCATGCACAGACCAATCATTTCATAAGACCTCAATGGATCAACACAGGCCATATGTATTGATTTTGTTTTGCCTGTAAGTTTTTTTTTAATTCTTAAAGCACTGGTAGTCATTGATCTGGTTTGTATGAATGATCAAGGCTCACAATTTCGGCTAAATGTCTTCTTTATTATTCTACTAAAAAAAACGGACAATTTTTGCATAAGGGAGTGCACGAAGCAAATTTTCTTTCATATAACTTTAAGAAATTACCTCATGTTGTTCTAAAACCCTAAGAAAACATGTTCATTGAAAGGCCAAATTTACATTATTTAATTCAAAAATGATATTTCTGTCCCAAGATCATAAAAAATGTGACATTTCAACATTTATCATAAATCCATTTGAACTTAACCTCTTATACAAGTCTTCTGAAGAGACATGATCACGTTATTTAATTTAAATTTAGTGATTGAAATGACACGCGTAAACGATGACTGAGTTTTCATTTTGGGAAAAAGCCTGGACTTAAAACCACATTCATGATATCCTGTCTCTCACCTGTAGAAGTCATCAAAGTTAAGTTCACTTTTGCCCTTTCTTCCAAAGAAATGCACCAGCAGAGTTGTGTCTGTGACATTTTCTGGAACGTGCTGTGAAAGCAAATTGAGAAAGCACATTATTCAGCTTTAAAAAAATGAACAAAGAAGCACAATTTGCCACAGTTTACACCAAAATAGCTTAATAAGGATATAAATGTGCAGCCATACACATATCACAATGTAAACAAACAACACAGACACAAACAAATAAATGAGTGTGGTTTTTTTAAATAAATATATTGAATGAAGATGATGTAGATCAAATTTGAAAAAAGTCAAATATTTATCATACATATTCAAATCAGATCTTAGCTTATACTGATTTGGTGTTTTTTTTTTTTTTTTTTTTTTTTGCATAATACAAACGTTGATAAGGGTATAATAAAAAGTCTGTTCTCATTTTTCACATTCATGTTATTCTAGATCTTATTAACATGTTCAATATATATTTTATGATACTTTTTGCATCTCCTTTTCCCTGCTCCAACACATAGCAATGAAAGAAAGTGAGCGAATGGTTTGAAATAACATGAAGGTGAGCAAGATTTTAAAAAGTAACATATATGTATGCAGATAATGTTAATCCATTTAAATGAGCAAAAACATGATTGAGCAGCCAACATCATTTCATGCCCATGCAAAAGTTTGCATACAGGAGTACCTCAATGTTCCTTTGCATGTACATATCTTTACAAAAAATAAAAAAATACAATATGTGATGGCATTTATTTTTCTATTATTTTCATAAATATGTCTTAAAATATGAGCTGAAATGGTTTTTGAAACAGACAAGCATCCAAATAGGTTAATAATTTTTAAATACATTTTTTACAGTTTTACTTTTTACATTGTCAAAATTACTAAGACAAAGCAAAGCATAATCTTTTGCTGTATGACTTCCATAAATATTTAATTCTGTTAAGATTTCCATAAGATTAATTAAACAGTGTAGTGATGTTAAAGAATGAAAATGGCAAAACCCCAAAAAGAACAAATACCAAATAATGGGCAGAGTCTCACGTGGGATGAGAGACAGGGAATGGTCAAAGGAATCATGGGATTTAAATGGGAAACGTGAGCTCAAGGATACTTGTACCTCCATCAGATCTGAAAAGAGAACTATTCTTGCACCAAGCTTTAGAACATCCCAGAAACTTCTGGGCTCACACTGAGGCTGCTCTTTTTTAAGTACCTGCATGTCAGAGGTGGGGAGAATGAAAGGCTTAACAAAATCACCAAGATATGATTCAGACAACACAGTGAAAGACTAATCCACATGCAAAAGCCAGCTCAAGAAATGCAACATAATGTCATAGATAAGAATCAATTTCTTACTCTAGTCAATAAAACTGTTTCTTAAAGTTTTTAGCATTTCTTTAGAAAAATGTATAGATTAATAAAATAAAATACTTAAAATAAAAAGATGAAAAAAATAAAAGATTAAAAAAAGGTATACACTAATATTTCAAACCAAAAAATAAAACACCGTTACTATCTACTGAAGCATGTTTCTGCCACAGAAAAAAAAAGAATCACTAATCACTATGAAGGCAAAGTGATTAGTCCTCCTATGAAATATGGATTCTTTTTAAATATTTTTAAAGTGATATTTAATGGAGCAAGGCAATTTTTACTGTATTTATGTATTCAATATATATATATATATATATATATATATATATATAGGTCTTGCCTAATTAACCTAATTAACCTAGCCATTAAATTGCACTTTAAACTGAATACTAACATTTTGAAAAATATCTAGTAAAATATTATGCACTGTCATCAAGGCAAAGATAAAATAAATCAGTTACTAAAAATGAGTAATTAAAACTATTATGTTTAGAAATGTGTTGGATAAAAATGTTCTTTCCATTAAACAGAAATTGTGTAAATAATTAAATAATTAAAATTTAATAATGAATTAATTCTGACTTTATCTGTTTACAATTAAATATTTATTTATATTTATATTTTTATCTCCTAGCTCTCACTTACTTTCTCACAAAAAACAATACATTTATACTGTGATAAATCTGGATTAGCATCGCATGATAAATATACATTATCTTCATAAAATGGACACAGAGAAGCCATGAACTTTGGCAAACGTTTGTTGATTCTTAACATTTCATCAGTTAAAACATTTCTATATGCATTATATTAAGTTACAGGTGATTTTCTGCAAGCAAAACATTTTAACTATTCTAATGCTGTTAATCACACCAGTAAATAGATGCGTTTATATTTTGAGTTTACTTGCTTAATTCACATGTCAAATTCACTCCATTCGGTACATTAACACCAAGCACAACATCATAATCACGCCTCTACAAGAGCTAGCTCCTGATTGGTTCTAATCTGGTAAAGTTCCGATTTTTCAACTCAAGCATTTGAGCAATTTACACGCTAGGGGTGTCAAACATGAAAAATGATAAATTTGTGCCGCTTCATTATTCAATATTTACACCAATGAGGAAGTGCAAATTGTGCGATTTGCGCGAATATCGACACAGGATGTTTATTCGCGAATTTGCATTGACTTAACATGTAAATCACTCGCACTTGACACTTCATCTGTGTCTGGTGTGAATCCACCATTGCAGTCTCATTTATGGACTGTTTGTCAAGGATGCACTCCTTAACCTTCACGTTGACATACAAGAAGCATGTGCATCTAAAACATGCAAAAAAAAGTTTTTCTGATTTGCAAAAATGTAGACAGCACCCTCTGGTGGATTTGTCATCTAAAATGTGCGACAAAACGTACACACAGCAACATATTTTAGAATTCGCAAAAATGTAGGCTGTGGCATGGGTTTTCAATGAGCTTGAGATGAAAATAACTGTAGACTATAATCAGTTTTGTATTATTATTTTAAAATCAGCACTACTTTCTTGTGTTTGACAAAGAAAAGCACTGCCTTTCGAGAGCTGAAAGAGCTCCTGATCTCTCATGTTTGGTGCTGAGACAGTCTCATTCCTCAGGTGTAACTCTACATGACACAAAGCTCCTCAAGTCAAGAAGTAACCCAAACCCAAATACCACTCTTCAAGCAACTGTAAAAATAAAACATGGGGGTCCAGGGAGAACTGCCATTCTTCAGGTGAGGGCCTTTTAACGAGATTCTGTGAGACCATTCCTTGGCTCCTGACAGTAGACAAGCAACATAAATCATCTGTTCTAGCCTCTGGATGATTTTTCTGCTCTCCTTGACAATAGAGCTGCATGTCAGACCGAGTCCCATCAGAGCTGCATTGTCTCTCTTCTCTGGAGGTGAGCCAAGCGTGAGGGTCACTCTTTTACGCCCTATCCAAACATTTCAGCATGTAAAAGAATATCTAGCCCAGACTGTGTTGAAAAGAGTCGAGTGTGGATGCAACCTTTCTGGTGTACTCAGCACTAATTAAAGTGAGGATCTATAAACATTAGTATTTACGACACGCATGCTGACCAGAACTAAACAAGTGCAATCAAGCACCAACCACATTCATAGACACAGTTCACCCAAAAATAAAAATTCCCTCATCATTTTCTTATCCTCGAGTAGTTCCAAAATTTAATGGGTTATTTTTTTTGTTTTTGTTTTTTTGTGCAATTTTCTGCAAGACAGCTGTTTGCTATCTTGATGTACTTGGATAAAAATGCATTAATACCACAAGCTCCCTCCTTTAATATGTGGATAATTACTAATCACTACACGGTTGCCATTTGACAAGCTAACCTATGATAAACATCAAAAATCTGAAAACATATGGGGTGCGTTTTCGAAAAACAACCGTTAGCCAAATAAGGTCACAAGTTCTGTGTTTCCCAAAACCATCGTTCCAACGAACATTCACAAACTGCAACGCAAACTTTTAGGCTTGCAGCTACACCTCAAGAGCTGTAGTTAGAAGCAGTTCCTGGTTGTGTATTATTCCCCAATATCCCCCCTATGCCCTATTCCTTTCAAAAGTTCCAACATTAAAACTTGAAATGATTAAAAAAAATAATCATTAAGCCATCTCTCTTATGTGTGTTATTTACTTTCAAAGTATTTTTACAGTTCAGTTTAAGCAATCTTTATATTGACAATTGCGTACTTATGACGAAAGCTATAGGTGACCTATAGCAGAATTTTTGGTATAGCTCCAAAGCAAAAATATATAGCATACGATAATGCTTTAAATTTACAGTAGGTTATTTATTAAGAAATGTATCTGTACTGTATATGACATTGGCCTGTTGTTTAGAACATTTCTGCAGTGGTTTGAATGTGTCAAAGTTGTAAAAATTTAAATTTAATTCAATAAATAAATCTAATGAAAAAAAAAATAAATTAAATTAAAAAACAATATCTTAATAATAATAATAATAATAATAATAATAATAATAATAATAATAATTTCTATTATAATAATAAATTAAATATATGTTCTATTTACATATACTTTAATTAATATGGGAAATGAGTGCATGTTTTTGCCAAAACTAATATTGGATTTGTTTTAAATGCGTGTGCGTAAAACTTTATAATTTGCACAAAAAAATATGGGTTTTTCTCTAAAGAAGATGTTATTCCGCCCTATTTAGAGCTTCATTATAGACATTTTACGTTATAACTAAAGTGGTGTAAACAATAAATCTGCGACAAAGCAACTACGGTATTGGCAAACACTCATCACTGCATCGTTCTATTCCCAAAAGATGCATTGTACTATGGTAGTTCTGCTGTGAGTTATGTCATTGTTTGAGAAACGCACCCCTGGTTGAGAGATATCATAAAAAAGCAGGACTGCTTGTGATTTTCTTTCAATCCTACTTCATTCTTATCGAAGTATTGCTTCAAAGGAATGCTTATTGTTTCGATTTCCCATTTGTTTTTCCTTTTTGTTATTAATTTTTACATCTTGTCCTTTAATTTCCTAACACTCTGTAACATTAGTATGTGATGTGATACTGTTATGTTTTCTGGTATCACAGGCAAACAATAAAAAAAATAAATAGTAGAAAACAGATAATCTGACAAACAAACATGATCCAGTAGTCATTGACATCCATAGTAAAAAAAAAAAATTTAATTAATTAAATTTATGTGCATAACTGGAATATCGCATATAAGACAAGCAGTGTTTCCATCCAATGAGTCAAAGAGAATAAAATCGTCACTTCCTGACTAACTGCCGCCAAATATCAACAGTAAAAACTGGATTTGCTGTGGTAGCTGAAGCTGCTTGAGTTTTTTTAAATTAAATTACACCCTAGAAAGCAGTATGCCGATATGCACTATACGCGTGGTGGCATTTAAAAGCATAAGACGCGGCGCACAGACGCTCTTGAGAGTTCTGGAGGTCATTAATAGTATAATAACACTACTACTGAAATGCTTAAGGTGTTTTAGAATGACAAAAACAAGATGTTTTACGATGTGCTCAACCTGCTGGTTTGTCCATGCACAAATTTTTATTATTACATGATCTTATAACAAAATCACATGACTTTTTTTAATGTGCATACTGGAAATTGTTCGGTAAAACTGTTTCCATTGTAGTTTATGCGCATCTTTTCTCTTTTTGTATAAAAAGTTTATGGTACTCAGTTGTGCGCATATGTTTTTTATGCACATTTTCAATATTTATCAAAAATGCACATAAAAATAGGTGGATGGAAACATAGCTAATGGTTTCTGATTTCCAAAAGTCTTCAAAATATATATATATATTTTTTTTTTATTCATTAGAAAAAAATATCAACAGGTTTGGAACCAGTGGAAGGATAGTAAATGATGGCAGAATTTTAGTTTTTTTGTGGAACGATGCCTTTAACCAACATGCAAAAAAGACAACAACATCAAAATCATGCTTATAAGCATCCATTATTCCACAGATACATACATTGCTGCTCACAGATCCTTGATATCCATACAGTTCCACATTCTCACAAACCAAAGATTATGATAGCGTGCAGAACAGAAAAAAAAGTCCAAATCAAATCAGCATTCAGCATCTGTCAAAAAATATTACTATGGATTGTGAAAGACAATGAAGTGCTTTCCAAAACACAATCTGTAAAAACCAGCATTTCCCTAGCACGAGTGATAAGAGACTCATTGTAGTTTTGAGGGGGAAATATTATCACAAGTGTACATTTGTTCAGACGCTTACGACAACAAATACAAAAATACATCATGCATGAATCATGCACATTATCTCTCATTTTAAAAATGTGACTGAGAACATGCAACAAACTGAACAAATAAAATTCATAACCATTCTGTTTTGAACACTTTATATAAAACATGAACATTCTTTCATGAAGCAAAAAAGGAGACATTTATAACAGATAATAAATAAATATACATATATATATAGAAATTATAAAATATTTCATAATTAGATTTGTACATCTAATTTAAATACACAATTTAAACATGTATGTTTTTTAAGTATACACTTATCTTTAAGAAAATATGGCCTCTTTATCATGCAAAAAATATTAAGAAAGATAAGCACCATGTCTGCCAAGCAATTTCAATCTCATCTTCATATATTGCATTAAAATGTTTTAATAAATCTCAAAATGTACTGAATGATATACAATAACTATTTTTATGGTGTACCATTCATTTTACTGTATGGAACTGAGCATTGTGAACATTCATCAAAAGTTCTCTTTTTGTGTTTCACAGATGAAAGACAGAACTACTATTTAGATTTGCAAGAAATTGAGTAGATTATTATTTTCAGGTTAGACCTGTTGTGAAAAATCTTTTGATAAATCTATTCTGCAATTTTCAAGTCTCTTGAATCAATTTTTTGCTAAGTTTTTAACAGCAAATAGTGCTGTATGCTTTACAAACGGCCATATTCTGCTTGCATCCATTTCCTTACAAATACCACTTGAACCTAAAATAATTATTAATAAAGTTAGGAAAGATTTAAGCAAATTATAAGTGTGTTCGTAATGAGTTTTGTTTACAGTAATCTCATGTCATTAAAGGTACTGTATGCAAGTTTTTGACTCTTCTAAAGCATTAAAAATACCATAATATGTTTGCAGATATTTAAGAAACATGCTAAGCGAATATACTTGTTTATCTGAAAACAGTAAAAAAGTCAGATATTCTGCTTTGACAAAGTGTGTAATGTGCCAGAAGGTCTGTCTTTGTTTTGGTTCTTTTAACCCGCCCACTGTCACTTTAGCCAATTATATTTCAGCACATCGGGTTGTATTGGTGAAAAATCGCGTACTTGATTCATTTAGTCAGAAAGGCTTTCAAAGTATGCATCCATGACTGAATTGCAGCCTTCGGTGGACAGTAGCAGCCTCCAAAATGAGATGCAGATTTAGAGTTCCACATAAGGTTATTAATTAGCAAACAATATAAATATTAAGAACATAAACATTAGGTGAGCAGGTTACATTGTAACCCCATGTCCTAACAACACGTTACATTACTGGGAGTCAAACTTACATACTGCACCTTTAAAGCCAAAATACATGAATTTTAAGAGTGTGGTTGAAAACTAGCCTAGTTTTTCTCTAGTCTCTCTCTAATCCATTCAAGAAAGAAAATATAAACACAATTTTTTTTTAATATCTCAACACTGATGCAGAATCATTAAGTTTCTCAAATGATTTTTCACCACAGCTTTATTTCAGGTGTACTATTTCCTTTTAAATGCAATGACATACTGTAGAAAGAACATGCGCATGCAACTTAGGACTGTAAATAAAATACATTGAAAATGAAGAACCAGTTTTTCTTACCAGCTGAGATGAACTCTCAGCATCTCCTCCTCGCTCCTTTCTCTTTTCATTTTTCTTACGAAATATCTCCTCCAGCTAAAGGGAAAAAAGCAGAACTTAATCATCACACATGCTGACATTCAGATTAATAATAAAACATCGGCAGAAAAACAGCCATACCACCATGAACTCCCTCTTATCCACCATTTGATTGCCGTCCGCATCAAACATGTTGAAAGCTATTTTAAAGCCAGCATGCGGCTCTGGAAGACGAAAGAAACACATCTTCACACACATGTACACTTTCTGTGACTGTAGTTTGTGTTAAACAAGTGTCAAGTAGTCGACAAAAGCTCACTTGTCAAAATACAGAGGAGAAACAGATACTCTGTGTAAGCGATGAGACCTGAAAAACACAACAAAGACATTTCCTTTCAAGAGCTCAAACAATGCTTGTGATCCAATAGGGGTGTCAATTTTTTAAAAATCCCATTTTCAACCATACTTTAAATAAAATATCAAACAATCAATTAGCCTTTGTGTGCAAGATGTGTATGATTCAGTGACAGGATCTGCAAATTATACACAAAGCTCAAATATATATTGTATGCAAGATGTGACTAATTCAGTCTGTGACTAAGTCAGTCTGTCAACAACATGGCAGGATCTGCAAATGATACACAAAACTCAAGCATTCTCAATCAAAGGTATATATATATATATATATATATATATATATATATATATATATATATATATATATATATATATATATATATATATATATATATATTATAATAATACAAAATAAAAATAATACATCCATGATTTTTTTTCTTTTTTAAATATTTTCCAAATGATGTTTAACAGAGCAAGGAAATTTTCACAGTATGTCTGATAATATTTTTTCTTCTGGAGAAAGTCTTATTTGTTTTATTTCGGCTAGAATAAAAGCAGTTTTTAATTTTTAAATGCTATTTTAGGGACAAAATTATTAGCCCCTTAAAGCTATTTTTTCGATAGTCTACAGAACAAACTATCGTTATAAAATAACTTGCCTATTTACCCTAACCTGCCTAGTTGACCTTTAAACTTTATAGAAGTGTCTGGAAAAATATATGTGGTAAAATATAATTTTCTGTCATCATGGCAAAGATAAAATAAATCAGTTATTAGAGAGGAGTTTTTAAAACTATTATGTTTAGAAATGTGTTGAGAAAATCTTCTCTCCGTTAAGCAGAGATTGGGGGGAATAAACAGGGGTGCTAATAATTCAGGGGGACTAATAATTCTGACTGTATTTATATTTATTTTTATTTATTTTAAGTATAATTAATAAAAAGAGGCAGGGCTGCATGATATGGGAAAAATTACACATTGCAATTTTTTTCTGCAATAATTCTACAATTTTATTCTACAATTTCACTAGATAAGTTGAAAAAGTGTTTGTAAAGAATTTATAATTTTGACTGATTGGGAAGATTCATAATGTGACTATTGCGAATGATCCCATTGCAATATTGATGTTGAAACGATGTATTGTGCAGCCCTAAAAGGATGGTAGGATTGTAAAAAGAATCGATGATTGATCTTAGACAAACACGCTTGCAACAGATGCATGAGTGAGTTCATGTGAGCAAATTGATTTGTTACTGTGTATTATGCTCTTCCCGAATGTGCATATTAAGGAAAATCTGGAGATTATTACAATTTCAATATTTGTTCCATGTTCAGTCAATATGTTGTATCATCAGTTATATGTTAAATGTAGGACTGGGCGGGATGTTGGGTTGGGCATCGACAGAATGTTATCAATTAAGATTGCAATTTAGATTCCGCTGATCAGTTTTGATTCTTATTGATTCCCAATTTCGATTCCTAAGTAAAAAATAAATAAATTAACAAAAAGTTAATTTAAGCCCTGTTCAATCAGGTATTCAGGTTCATTTTCCTCTATCTGATCACAAATGGACAAAGGAGACACATTACTAATGCAATTTTTATAATTTACAAGAAAAAAACCTAATCTGAATCCAAAAACTTTCAGAATAAATATGCCTTACGAATAGGCTTCTTTATGCATTAAATAATGAAACTATAGTTGATTGACTTGTTTTAATCTATAAGGCCTCTACACTTCTACATATTCTGTTTCACAGTTTTAACATGTACCCTGTATATGCTTTGATTTTTGTACAGTTTTACCTTCTTTGTTTAAAAAAAATATCTCACCCACTAATGCAAGATTAAAAAATCAATCAAGTGCATGCTAACATATGTCTATATAGTCCTAACCATAAAGTCCTGTTGGCCAATCAGACGACGCCTCAAAAAAGGGTTATTATTGGTTCCTGTTAGCTATCAACATTGCATGTACTTGTAAACTTGTAGACATGTAATTAACAGAAATTGCAGTGCACAATCTGATTTCACATAAAGTTAATGGCAATGCAGACACCCCAAAACTCTGGTTTTGCCTGCTACACGACTACACACACTGTCACTGGCATTTCTGAGAATCTTTACCCTGACAGGAGTTTTCAAAAGTTTAAATTTCAGTGCCCCAACACTGCATTTGTGTGTAAATGACAGCCACATTAGTGTTTGTGTGAACAGGGCCACACAATATGTGCAATCAGTAATCTGAGGTGAATTTGTACCTGTGATTTAGATAAATTGTTTTTCATTACTGACTTAAAACTGTGAATGTGAGTACAGAATAATTCTCTGAACAATAATATATCTCAGTAAGTAACAGTAACAGTAGCACAACTGCCTCTGCCAACTAACTTAAAGCCCGACCGGTAACAAGACTAATTAACATGGAGCACTGTAAAACTCAGACTAATGCAAGTCTTGTTTGAAAAATTGTAAAGAATATATGAAAACTGGGCGACGCAGTAGGTAGTGCTGATGCCTCACAGCAAAAAGGTTGCTGGTTCGAGCCTCAGCTGGGTCAGTTGGCGTTTCTGTGTGGAGTTTGCATGTGCTCCCTGCGTTCGCGTGTGTTTCCTTCGAGTGCTCCGGTTTCCCCCACAGTCCAAAGACATGCAGCACAGATTAATTGGGTAGGCTAAAATTTTCAGTAGTGTATGAGTGTTTCCCAGAGATGGGTTGCAACTGGAAGGGCATCTGCTGCGTAAAACATGTGCTGGATAAGTTGGCGGTTCATTCCGCTGTGGCGACCCCAGATTAATAAAGGAACTAGGCCGAAAAGAAAATGATTGAATGCATGAATATGAAAACTGGATTGACGTATTGACTGTGACACTAATCATACAAAGCATAATTCAGTATCTGCTCTATTAATCCTTTTTCCTTTACATTAAAAGCCTGCTGCTGGGTCCTAGTACCTTCCCATGAAAAATAAGGAAAAATAACGCTAGTTCTACCTAGGAACAAATCATCAATTGGTGTGATGAGTATGTTTTTAATTGATTGTAAGAAGCTAACCATTATTGTGAACAAAAATCTCAAACTTAACTCTATAAATTAACCTGTAAAACACACAAACAGGCAAAATACAGTTAAGCTCAGTCAAAAGGAGAATAATTGTGCATCCCTGTCATATTAAAAAATGTTTAAAATAAAAAAAGCTGAAGTCTTTTTCAATTCATAAAGTTTATTTACTATAATCCTTTTTATTAAATTACTGGAATAACTGCTTATTTAAATAACTGTAACAAAAAAATATCATCACTATAAAATAAAATTACTGTTACTACGTGAAATTATACTCATACCATGAAAGTCAAACCATAGAATTTTATTAAATGGCCAAGCTAAATGCAACAAAACAAGACATCCAAACACCCTGAACATTAAACTAATGCCTTTTTAAATAAATTAATTTTCCCCTCACAATAGGCTGAATGTGCCTCAAACATTTACTATTAATGAAGTTAATGCTTAATTGACCATTGACAAAGTGTATCAATAAAAGGATTAACGTCAATTTATCGATGGTCGATTGCCATTCCTAGATCAAAAATCCCAGAAAATAAATTTTTCCAATCGAATGTCATTTCAAACCAGAGCTCCTTTCTTCTTGAACAGATAAGATCTCAGATGATCCTGTGCTTTTGCTCTTGTTTGGTGTTTTCTTTGCACAAGCGGAGACGCTGAAACGCAAAGTAACCAAAGCTGGACACAAACCCAAACAAAATTAGCTTCCCCTCTGTTTATTTTCCTAGGTGTAAACCATTCTCAAGTGATCTGTAACTGATTGTGGATGCCTGGTGTGGGTTTGTTTGGCTTTCTTAGGTCTGTTCGTGTCTTTGTTGTGTGAGAGGAGAAGAAAGGAAGAGCAACTGTCAGGTCTCTGTCTGGGAGAGATTGTTCTGCCACTGAAAGCATTCCCAAGCTTTTGTCTGAAGGAGATGATAGTGATTCGGACACTGAGAGTTCAGGAGATCTGCTTTCAGTGCTGTGGGAAAAGGACTTTGGAATGTTTTAGGAAAAGGTTTAAGAAAGGTGTGTGTAAAGCAAAACAGAGAAGATACGCTTTCACATTTCAGGTCACTCTGATGTCTCGATGATCTTTAAATGTATAGTATTCTGCCATCATTTACTCATCCTACAGTCTGTTAAAAACAAAAAAGATCATTTGAAGAATGTTGGAAATTCCATAGTATTTGTTTTCCTTATGGGGCAGCACAGTGGCTCGGTGGTTAGCACTGTCGCCTCACAGCAAGAAAGTTGCTGGTTCGAGTCATGGCCGGGCCAGTTGGCATTTCTGTGCGGAGTTTGCATGTTCTCACCGTGTTCACGTAAGTTTCCTCCGGGTGCTCCAGTTTCCCCCACAGTCAAACATTTGGCGCTAACGGTGAATTGGGTCAACTAAATTGGCAAGTGTGTGTGTGTGTGTATGCGTGTGCGTGTGTGTCTGTGTGTATGTGTGTGTGTGCGTGTGTTTGTGTCTGTGTGTGTGTGCCAGTACAGCTGGACTGCAGCTGAAAGGGCATCCACTGCGTAAAACATATGCTAGAATAGTTGGAGGTTCATTCCGTTGTGGCGCCCCATGATAAATAAGGGATTAAGCTGAAGGAAAATAAATGGATGAATGTTTTTCCTATGTATGTCAATGCCTACCAGTTTCTAACATTCTTCAAAATATCTTCTTTTGTGTAAACCCTAGCTTTAATTAAAGTCTCAAGTTTGATTGTGTTGATTTAATATAATTAGTTTGTTCCTTCATTCATTTTCTTTCGGCTTAGTCTCTTATTTTTCAAGGGAAAGCCAAAGCAGAATGAACCACCAACTATTCCAGCATATGTCTTACGCAGCGGATGCCCTTCCAGTCACAACCCAGTACTAGGAAACGCCCATACACTCTTACATTCACACACTCATACATAATTAATTGTTTTAAATTATTAATTTATTTATATATCTTAACATTTTTAG